TTTTGAGGTGGGTTACTGGTTGCATCACAAAATACAAAAAATCTATCTATAATCTACTTATAATATTATTATTAATAAGGATAAAGTATACAAATAATTACCGACTAGAAAGTGTTATTTTGTTGAGTCTCCGACTATGTATCACTTTGTTAAGTCTCCGACTATTAAAAGTTACAAAATAGTATCATGACTATAAGATGTTGTTTTATTGAGTCACCTGATAATTAAAAGTTATAAAATAATCATTTGACTATTCATATATTTTAAACTCGCATTTTTTTTTATTAAAAATTGACGACCGTCTGAATTGAACGTTAAATGATGATAAATAAAAAATAAATGAAGGTAAATAAAATATGCATATAATATAATGTATAATATGATATGATACGTAATAAATGTAACAATATAAAAATATATGCTTATATGTTAACAATAAATATAAATGATATATCAAATATAAATAGAAGTATATATAAAAATAGCATGAGCGAACTTATCTCAGTGTTTAAAAGAATTATTCTTCTTCTTAGAGGTCATGGGTTCGAGCACTAGTAAATGCAAGGGTGATTTGAATGTTCATTGACAAATGTTTAAAAGTACTTAAGATATATACTACTTTAGAATCACATTTAGCTTAATCATATATATAATTATATTGAAACAAAAGTTCTCTTTTATTATTTCTATTATCATATTACAATGACAAAATCTCTTCTCTCTTTTTTGTTTCTTTTTTTCTTAGCTCCCTTATTCTCCCCGAAAACAAATATTCTCTGTTCTTTTTTTCTTTTTCTTTTTCCTTTTTTTACGTAAAATGATTGTTTATTTAGTATTTATAAGGCTCTAAAGATCACCAAAAAGAGAATTCATAGTATCTTTTCATTAATTAAAATATATAAATTAAAAGAAAGTAAATATTTTAATAATTAAGGAGATCTTAAATTACCTTAAATAAATGATAGAAAGTATATAGTCGAATTTATTTATAAATAATCAATAAAATAATAAAAAATTCGTAATAAATGGTGAGTAAGAGTGAAGATAGGCCAAGAGGAGTAAAGTAATAACCCAAACTAAGCAAGGACTGCCCAAAATTCTCTTATTAGATTCGTACTCAATTTTTTGAACGTGTTATCTTCACTAAAATAAGCATATCTTGAGTTCTCAATGTCTGATTGAGGCGTTTCAAAATACGTTGGAAAGCTAACTGAAATCCTGTTCTATTTCATGAAGACGTCATGCCTTGGAAACTTTCGGATCCCGCTTGAAATTTTGTTGCATCGAAATCAATATCGATAAGAATGTTTGGGCCTTAAAAAAAGTAAGCCGGACGAAAATCATGCATTACAGGATCGAGACTTATGGACTGATCAAGGAATTGTTATGGGAAAACAATCCACTTATCTATAGAGAAGTCTAAAGAAGAGATTGATGAGATTAGGAAGTTGTATGTTTAAATTGTTGTCGGAAGCTCTTGGATTGAGGCCAAAGTACCTAGAGGAGATTGGATGCTTAGAGGGACTTGCAGTTCTAAGCCATTATTATCCGAAATGTAGGTAACAGTAAGCACTCGAACAACGACTTCCTAACAGTGCTTTTACAGGACCAAATTGGTGGCCTGCAGGTGCTTTATGAAGATCAATGGGTCGATGTTCCCCCTGTCCCTGGTGCCTAGGTGGTCAATATTGGAGATCTTCTTCAGGCAAGTCTCACTTTCTAATTATACTACTAGTTTTCTCCCCCGGTTTGATCAAATAATTATCATTTTAACTAGGGATGAGCATGAATTAGTTTGGATCGGCTTTTAGCTTATTCGACCTGAATATTATATCTATCCAATTATTATTTGACTCGATTTGAATTTAGGGAGGTTTCATCCAATATAAATTCAACTCAATTTTTAGGATAAAATCAAACACGATACACACATATATAAAAAATTCATTTTTAATCGATAAAATAGAGAGTTAATTGAAAATATTATATAGAAATATATTTATTCTTGTAATTATATCAAAATATATAAGAGATAATTCTCAAGTCGAAGATTTTTTATTCTAAATATAAAGTTGATCTTATTCTTGAAAAGCTCAAGTATGATCTTGATCCAAACTCAAATTTTCAAAAAAAAAAATCCCAAAAGATCATATCGAGTCAAAACCCATCAAGTCTGAATATTATGTCTATTCTTAATTTTCACTATTCCAATTATCTATCCATACATACGAATCCAATAGCATTGTGATGAGTTAGAAGGAATGTTTTAAAGGAAAAAAAATTATGTCAACATTATAACCGATATAGATTAACTGATGTAATTTTTGGTAAATGACTAATTAATGAAATTATATAAGTAGAGACATAGAATTTTGTCAAATTAAAACATGAGGACTAAATCATAAATTTGAATATTGTAGGACAAAAAACAATATTTGACCAATAATTATTGGTTAATAGTTGCCTTAGGTATATGATATACAAGCTATGCTCAATCCATCTCAAATACTAATATCAAATTGGATCTTTTTAGGGTTAAGTACACTCAAGGTCACTATATTATACTAAAATGACTGTTTGATCGCCGTACTTTTAGAAATTACAAAATGGTTATTAAAGCATTACAAAATGATCATTGATTTTTATCAAATTATTACAAAATGGGCTTTAAGTTTATCAAACATTTATAGTTATTATAACATTGCAATAACTGTTTTATAACTTTTAAGTTCAGATTGGTCATATTTTATTTGGTTTAGTATAATAATTACATGAAGCAATTGGATTTAACTTTTTTTTTACAGCTTATAACAAATGATAAGTTCAAAAGCGTAGAGCACAGGGTGTTGGCAAACCGTGAAGGGCCAAGAGTATCAGTGGCATCCTTCTTCACCACTGGTATGTTACCATCTTCAAGGTTTTTTGGACCAATTAAAGAGCTGCTCTCTGATGACAATCCTCCACGTTATAGACAGACAACAGTTAGGGAGTTTGTTTCCTACATCTATGAACATGGCCTTGATGGAACTTCCCCTCTTCATGTCTTTAGGCTTTGAAAGAACACCATATAATTTTTCATAAAATTTGCTGATGGAGATGTTGGTTGATCTATTAAAATTTCTATGATATAGTTGATACATTGAGTGGGAAGAAGTCGGGAAAAGTTTATGGGGATCAATGTTGAATTAGAATTTTTGAGGGTTCAAAATGCATTTTTATCATTGTATGGATTTGAAATTTTACGTCTTTAAAGGGATTAAACTATAAAATGTATATTTTTGGTGTCAAAATATAATTGTATCATCATGAACTATTTTTCATTCATCAACGTTTGAGTATTTTCTTTCAAATTTGAATGATGAGGAGATCAAAAAGAATAATATATCTTGGATTTAAGTTTTATTAATTTTGGGGGTTTTAAGTAGAATCATCTTAGAAGAAAAGAGAGAGGAGAAAGAAAGATGTTTTAATACCAATTACGCTGTAAACGATGGTTAATGATAATCTCATAGTTATAAAGAAGGATATCGGTCATAAAGAAGATAAAAGGTGAAAAGTTTATGTCAATTTCAAAAAAAAAGTCCTAAAACACAATGTGTTCGCTTTAAGCAATTAATGATCGAGTGATGAAAAAAGAGCAAAACTAAAAGCTTTAGTGATAAAATTAAAAACTCTAAAAGTTAGAAGAGACCAAAACAGAAACATGTTAAAAGTTGAACGCCTACACCATTTAGTTTACCCAATGAATTCAATAAATAAAACAGAAAAATTAAGATAATAGATTGTCATTGAAAAAAAAAACCCTTTGACGCGTTTAACACGTAAGAACTGAGTCACACGATACCACATAAATTTAGGGTTAAATTTCTTTTAGGGTCCCTATACTATCCTGAACTATGATTTTACTCAAATAATAGTTTTGGCACTTATATTGCTTTTTAGCATGATTGTCATTATCGAATTGAACTGGACCGGTCGCTTGAACACATGAAATAAAACCAAAATTTGAGTGAACTATTGCAAATCTTTAATTTATTTGATTTTATTATTTTTAAATTGATAATTCAACTAGTTAGATTTAAAATAGATAATCTCAACGATTCAACAATATATCTGATTTTTCCAACATTGTTCTTTTTTAAGAATGATAAAACAATATTAAGTGGTTTAATTTGGAAATATTTTCAACTTTGTTCTTAAATTTTGTATCCATAGACAATATTAGCCCATGAACTTATCAAATTTTCTCAACTTAGTCCTTTTTTTTTTTGAAATCAGCTTATTTGATTAAAATGGATTTTCAACTTTGTTCTTAAATTTTGTATCCATAGACAATATTAGCCCATGAACTTATCAAATTTTCTCAACTTAGTCCTTTTTTTTTTGAAATCAGCTTATTTGATTAAAATGGACTTGCACCATACAACTTCAAGCATCGAAAGGAGCCTAGTTAAAAAATCTCTCCACACTTATATGGAGGAAAAAGAGTGCTCCAAACTCAATGCCCATAGAAAAATACATCTAACACCTGCAACTTATAAGACATAACAACTACCAGCAAGACTAAACACGATAAATGGATCACCTCATGCCAGCTTCCAAATCTCAATTTAGTCCTTGGAGTTGAAGTTTTGATCCTTTCGATAATATAACATGATACAATCTCAGAATATCATGTATTTAAAATAACTAAAATTTAAATTAGAGACTACGTTGAGAAAAAACTATCAAAGACTAATATAAAACAAAAAAAAAAATCAGACCATATTGAAAAAGTTAATAAGTTAAGGGACTAAATATTGCTTTATGCCTTTCGACTCATAATGCACACCTTATATCTCAAATTTAAGCAAAGTAGGACCAAAATGTTCGCTTTAAACTTTTAGCCACTAAACAATGAATTTAGTTCAGGCCTGGTTAGGTAGTTGATTGAAACTGTTGAAATCTTCAATTGAAAATGGAAAGTGACAAATATTTTTGGCTGGTATTACCATTATTGTCAACAATTCCGTTCCTTTTTAAAAATTATTTTCTTGGTCCTGCCGTGCCGAATTATTTTTCAATTTTTTAAACTCAATTTTCTTCTTCCGCTTGTTTATGTCGTCGTTTTCCTATTGCCTTTTCTCTGGGTTTCTGCAAATCCTTAATTCTGGGAATTTTTATCATCTAATCTGACGATTTCAGTCTCTGGGTCTTCCTTATTTCTCTTGAAAAAGGTTTCTTTTAACGAGCTATGGGGATTTAGTGAATGATTTTCATTGGTTTTGGAGATAATTTTTTTTTAAAAATGAGGGAATTTCCTGGAACTCCAGGGACGTTGACAAGCCTGTTTTTGAGGATTATACAGTGTGTTCTAGCAGCTGGATCAATTGCTTCCATGGTTACAGCTCCAAGCTTCTTCATTATCACTGCTTTCTGGTATTTTTCCCCCTTTAGCTATTTTATTCTTCTTCCTGAATTTGTTTTCTGAGGCTATGCTTCTTTGCTTTAATTTTGTATATTGTGGTTTGGAAAAAGTTAAATACAAGATCGTTGTTTGGCTTGAGAATGCTGCAGAGATTTCTTTAGTTTAGCAAACTTTAGCTAGGCAGATAAATCTATCAACATTAACATTTGTTTAGATTCTGTGATAATAAGGATAAATGACACCATAAAGTCATTACATTTTAAGTTGCGTATCGATTTGAACATTAAATTTTAAAATGTTTCAATTTTAGAATTGACTTTACTGTAAGTTTCAATTAGAACACCCAACTGTTAACTATTAATAATCGGATGACATGATAATTTAGTATTGATGTGGAGGCTGACATTTGTTGACGTGAAAGTTAATTATTTCTTTTAATTCAGCTCCTCACCTTCTTCATCAAAATTAGAGTTTTCACTTATTTTTTATCGCCGACGGAAACTGTCATTGTCCAACTTTTTTGCGATTATCTTTAATATTGATGAACTCGTCTCATCATCTTCTACCATTTTATCGATTAAAATTTTTCCCAAAATCTTTTAAAATTCATGAAATTTAAAAAAAAAAATCCAACATTTTTGGCGTTTTACTGCTTTCTAATGCTTGAAGGGTTTATTCAAAATTTCGAATTGTGAGAAACATTATTTCAAGAATAAGAATAACATACTTAAAAAATTAGTCTCATCAGAATGCAGTCAGAGGAATCGAAGCATTTAAAACTTTAAATGGATATTCGTCTATTTTAAGCGAGTTTTGTAAAAAAAATAATTTGATAAAAAGAAATAGGGTGAAACGCGAATGTTTGCTATCGATTTGTAGGGAAATGAGGAAGAAAACGCAAAATAAAGTTCAGTACTAAAGTTGAAGAGTTTTAAAGTTCAATGGTAAAATCAACATATAATACTTAAAAAATTAGTTCATCAGAATGCAGTCAGAGGAATCGAAGCATTTAAAACTTTAAATGGATATTCGTCTATTTTAAGCGAGTTTTGTAAAAAAAATAATTTGATAAAAAGAAATAGGGTGAAACGCGAATGTTTGCTATCGATTTGTAGGGAAATGAGGAAGAAAACGCAAAATAAAGTTCAGTACTAAAGTTGAAGAGTTTTAAAGTTCAATGGTAAAATCAACATATATTTAAAGTTTAGTGACTAATTGTGTAATTTACCCTAATAATAAATTAAGATCCAATTACCGAATGATCATAAAGCATTTCAAAATATGCTTATTTATATCATCTGTGAGATTGAAAGTATCTGATTTCTTGCTGTTTATGGTAACAGTGAGTTGAGTCTATATTTTTTTTCTATGTTTTGCTATATAAATTTGGAGTATCATATTCTGTTATATATGTCCAAATATACGTTTAGTACAGGTGTCAAACATGTATATTTTGAGAAAAAAATGAAGAGTTCGAATTAGCTAGCGGATGCTTAGATTGTTTATGTAAGTATCGAATACGAGTTCTGTAAGTTTTGTTCGAGTTACTAATCCTTGTAATCAAAGATCTCGATTTTTGCTGCATATTCGAAGAACTTGAATGTCTGAGTAATCCATTCCTATACTCATTTGTTTGTAGAGTAGTTAACAATTTGTTATTTGGACTTGAATGTTAGTTTCGAATATAACGATTTCGATATTTTGATGATTGGACATGTTTTTGTGAATGCCTAAACCTTTGGGAAATCTGAAGCTTTGGTTTTTAATACAACCTTTGATTGTGCAGCTACCTTATTGCTTCAATGGGATTGCAAGTTGTGTGGAGCTTAGCACTTGCGGTATTAGATGGAACCGCGTTGGTGAAAAAGAAGGTCCTCCATAATCCGGTTTTAGTCTGCCTTTTTGTAGTCGGAGATTGGGTCAGCCCCTTTCAAACCTTTGAGCCCTCTCGGTTTTGTTATTCCAAACCGGAACTCACCGTTGTTGAATTTCACGCAGGTGACGGCTTTGTTGTCTTTGGCTGCAGCATCTTCCTCGGCAGGCATTGCCGTATTGTACTTCAATGACTTGGGAAACTGTGGATTTGGAGAAGAATGCCGAAAATACCAGTTGTCAGTTGCCATGGCGTTCTTTGCTTGGGTAGCAATTTCGATATCATCCTTAATCATGCTATGGCTACTCGCAGCCGGTTAAACCGGTCATCGTACAGGCTCTCTCGGTGTTCTTCCACCTTCCATCTTAGAAAATTTGATTGGTACATGCCATCCATAGAAAAGGAGAAAGAAGAAAGTGAATACTGTGACTACACTCAGCAGCATTGTTTTATTTCCTTATAGGTATAATTTTTTGCTTCTGGTTTGGTAAATAAAAACACCAAATTTGTGAATTTGGAAAGTAAATAGATATGGGAAGTTCCTCCTTCACAAGCAAGCAAGTTGTATTACCCGAACAACTAATCATTTCGAATTCAAGGTCTTATTCGATCAATTCATGTTGTCAAAAACAGAACATCTCGGTTTGTAAAATTAATGATATGATCGATTGAACCGATGAGATAAAAGTTTCATCTGCATATACGTACTTCCTTATAATGATAATAAGCCATCAATTTATCAACTGTGTGTGATCTTTTGACGTGCAAAAGGACATGCAATTGCTGTTTCAGACATATTCTGCAACCTTCAATGGTTTGGGCATCCTTGGATTTGTAGCCGGAGATGGAAATATGGCACAAAACAAAACATGGTGACAATCCAACCTAAGTTGTTGCCGTGTCAACCTACTAAGAATATATGCAATTTTAGACTCACTATAGCAATGTATGAAAGGAAAGGGGAATGAGTAGAGAGAGGCTTGTCAACAATAAAATTGATTTAGATATTGAAAATAATAATAATATTTTTTTTAAAAAAGGTGTATCGTTAGTTTCATGCCTTTTTCTGCAATTTGTATCTTATACACAATAAACATAATCTAATTTAGATAAGTTTTCGTGATTATAAGATCATATAACACCATTATCTGGGATCACTCAACTTACTTAACAAGCTCTAGGTTTGGTTTCTGTTTGATTTCATGGAAAATTCCTACTTGAAATTTCGATGTTGATCATAGTTGGAATCATCAACCAGATTGATCAGGTGTTTACTATTCTTAGAATACGTTACACGTATCACGATTATTGTTCTCTCTCTTCTTAATCGATATGTCTGATAATTACTACATTTTTACTATTCTTATAAGCAGTATGCAACCTTCTTTAGAGTATAAAACGTAATATTTTTTATCATTTAATTTCGTGACACTCTCATCACAGAATTTGCGTAACAACTCGAACCTGAATACATAGGATTCGTTTGATTTTTCATGTCTACACAAATTGAAGCAGAGATATTGACAACAAATTCATAAGGTAGCATAATTGAATCAAAGAATCAAGCATCACTTGACTGAAACATGAAGAAAATTGACAACAGAATCGCTCCGGAACCATTAATTTTTATTTTTTTATTTTTCTTGTTTCCAGTTTCTGTAATTTTATCACCCTCTCCTGGTTATTCGAACCAAAGAATTTCATGGAGAATGAGGAAATTATTCTCCCTTTTTTGAGACATTTCCTCGGGGAATCAACAGAATTTCAGATGGAATTTCTAATCGAGAACATGATACTTACTGACAACCACATGCAACAGTAATGGAGACTAAAAGAACAATGCCATCACTTTTTCTATGTGTACTTATAATCGGTTTTGCTCTCCCAGTTTGTGAATAAGTCGAAATCGAGAAAAGTAGTGAAACAAGAAATGGGGAAGTTATGGCGGCAAAATCCGGTTCGTACTCCGACATTTACCGAAGGTTCAAGCCTCATATCCTCATGGTGCTTAGCCAGTTTGGCTACACTTTCCTTTACATCTTCACGGATGCCTGCTTTAATCATGGTATGAACCCTCATGTCCACGTTACGTACCGACATATCGTCGCCGGCATCGTCATGTTCCCTTTCGCCTATTTTCTCGAAAGGTCGGTTGATATTTCGCAAATCTGCTATGGAACTGTTCGGAATATTCGAGTTCTATGCTGACATGTTTTTTCTGTTTCTTTTCTTTGGTGCAGAAAAAAGAGGCCAATGCTTACTTTTGCCCTTTTTCTAGAGATATTTGTTCTCTCCATCCTGGGGTACGTAATTCTCCAACTCTTTATTTTTCTTGAAGTATTTATATCCGACACTCGTGTTTGATTAGGCTTTTGTTTGTTCGATTCCAACAGGGTGAGGTTGACCCTCAACATGTATTTCGTTAGCTTGAGGTACACTTCACCAACTTTCCTTGCAGCCCTGGTGAACACCATAGCTTCTTTGACATTCATAATTGCAGTTCTATTCCGGTTAGCGACCAAAATTTAGTCGATAAATTAGCAAAGCTTCAATGATTATAATCATCATCAGCTCATCATCCAGGATTCGACTTTGATGCAGATTGGAGGTCGTTAATCTCGGAGTCCACGAAGAATAGCCAAAGTTGTCGGAACCTTTGTCTCGTTGATCGGTGTAACGACGATGACATTGTACAAAGGCCCTGCAATAAAATCCCTGGGGCCAACTCTGGTCCATATCCAAGGCAAATACCCCATTCATGAGAATTGGTTGAAGGGTTCGATCCTTATTGTTTGCAGCTGCTTAACTTGGTCTATATTGTACATCATGCAGGTAAAAATAACTTCTAAAATTGCAGATCATAAATGGATAAAATATACTTATGATGTCTAAAATTTTGAAGGCATTTACACTGAAACGATATCCGGCACTGCTGTCGTTAACGACGTGTATGAGCCTTGTCGGAGCAGCACAATCGGCGGTTTTCACCGTCATTGTGAATCATGAACCGGCTGCTTGGAAAATTGGATTCAATATCCATTTCTGGGCTACTATATATGCTGTAAGAAGGGTATTAATCAACAGTAATCAGTTTTTTCCGATGTAAATTTTGTAAACACGAATCATCCGTGACAGGGAGTGGTTTGCTCCGGTTTAATAAACTACATTCAACTGTGGTTCACCGAGGAGAAAGGGCCAGTGTTCGTGACCATGTTCAATCCCCTTTCGACACTACTCGTGGCACTTCTCGGGTACTTCGTCCTCGGCGAAAAGCTTTATATCGGCAGGTAATGTTGTATGCAACATCCCATTTCAGCATTTACATGTTTGCTTCGACTCGTAAGACTTTCGAATTGAAGCAGATACTGAAGAGTCCACTTGTTTGTTATTCTCCTATGCCATGAAGGCCAGCATATATAATTTGATTACAAGAAAAATCCCAGATATTATAAAAATGGAAGAATATGATGACCTTAGATAGTTTTAAATACATGATCTGTAAATTAATGTTCTAAATTCCAGCCTGCTTCATCCAGCTCAACTTCAGCTCACCTGCACTTTTGGTAATTTAAAATATGAGAATCTCCTTTAAATTTTAATTCAGCCTCTGATTATTCTATTCAGATAGGAAAATTCCAGGCTTCCAAGTTCAGCATTGTGAAGAAAAAGCTACCACTAATGTCAGGTTTCATAGAACCATTTCTACAAACTGCTGATTGCAGCTGTCCACTAACCAATGGTTGAATTTCAGAATATGAAAATCAATCTTCTAAGAGAATGTTTGCATATCAGCCAAGCAAAATAAATGGCAGGGACTGGGACAACCATAGCTATATACACAAGGACTACGCAGGATTTTATATTTGAAGACGATGCATGGGGAAGAACTTATAAAATTTTAGGAGTAAAAACATATTATCAATAAAAATACAAAAAAAAATATGTTTGATCCACCCTCCCTTGATCCATCCTGACTATACATTAATATATAAATATATAGAAACCTAAATGATGAAGATTCAAAATGACCCAAAGATATCCTTTCATGCAAACATATACATAGCGTCTGTTTTTTTCTACAGAGTTAATAAATCTTGTTCCAGTTGCAGAAAAAAAAATATGCATATTTTTGTATTTGGCTTAAAACACATATCACCCCTTGAACTTGGCAACTTTGGTCAAGTTTTTCCCATAACGTTTACTTTTTATTTCATTTTAGTATCTCGTCGTAAAAAACTTAATGAAATTGCTACACATGGCATTCTTATGGGCAAATTATATCATTCATCACTTAATTATCTTCTCACTCCTATTTTGGTTACTAAAGTTTAAATTTTTTGAATTTAACTACTCAACTTTCAAATTGCTCATGTTTTAATCACTCTAATTTATCTTATTAATAATTTTTGTAATATGATAATTTTTATTATCATTTTATTAATATATTATTAGAATAAAAAAATAAAATTGAAAGTTAGAGTGATTAAATTAGGAGTAATTTGAAAGTTATGTAATTAAATTAAAAAATTAAACTTTAGTGATCAAAATAATAGTGAGAAGATAGTTGAGTGATAAATGATATAATTTACCCATAAAAAAGTGTCATGTTGTAACATGTCCTCTAAGTTTTTAACGACGAGGTACCAAAACGAAATAAAAAGTAAACGTTAGGTATGGTTTTGAAATAAATGAAAGTTCAAGTACTAGAATGAAATAAAATTAATAGTTTAAATACTAAATATGTAATTTACCAATTTGTTTTTGTAATTTTTTTTACTGAAATGAGCTTTTATGATGTGATCATTAGAGATATTAATGGGTCAAATCAGATTTTTAACCCATTTGAACTCTATTCGAGTATAATATTTATCTACCTCTCGATCAGTTAATCTGACTCAGGTTTAGGGAAATTTTACCTGACTAGAAATTCAATCCTATTTTCTGGGGAAAAAACCACATCGGTCTGACCCGATCCGACGCGTGCGCTCAAACAAACACACACACAATCGACCTAACCCAATCCGACACGCGCGCAAACAAAAACACACACATACAATCGGCCTGATCTAATCCGACACGCACACATGCAAACAAACACACACACACACACATATATATATATATATATATATATATGACTTTTTTTATTAGATAAAATAAGGATCTAAGTGAAAAAATACAAAGAGATTATATTGTAATAATTATCTTTAAATATATAAATGTCAACTATTATTTTAATTGAGGTCAACTATTCAACTATTATTTTTTAAGTGAAGTAAGATATTTTTCACCCTAAAAATGAGTTTGACATATAAAAAAACTAATCCTATGGAATTGAATTGAAATCTCTCTCGGATTGAGATCAACATTTGATCCTATATATATCATTTGGTATTAGTTGTTGAATGCTAAATTTGTGGTTTTTACAGGCTGGAAAATTTAATGTAGTTGGAGAAGGAATAGGACCATTACCAACCAAAAACCAAACCCTAATATTATTTTCTCTATTGAAAAGAAGACTTCTCTTTCCCACCTAAGTCAATGACATGGGCCCTCTCTCCTCTTTTTTTTTTTTGAAGTCTGTCTCTTATCTCAAAGCAAATATGAGACGGATCATGTATCCAATCAACCAAAAATATATATTTATTAACAAAAGCAGAAGGCAAATTGTTAATCACTGTCTAATTATGTTGATTAACGTGATGATAAATGAACATAGAAATGTAATTAATGAGTTGTTTTTTAATAATTAAATATTCTTTGGGATTCCAAAAGATAGAATTGGTTTTTTAGGCAATGAAATATGATGTCCATAATCATGGGTGTGATTCATTTGAGCACACACTGGACCTGCCCCTAATAAAATTATTTAATTTTTTAAGCATAATGATAGAATTAGTCTTCAATGTTTGGATATATTTATCCCAACGATCGCTTTAATCTCTCTCTATATTTTTTAAGTATTTTAATATCAATTTTTTTAATTTTTAATTAAAATTATACTTGTTTGATGAAAATTGTTAGATAACAAACGAAATATGTACTTTGAGTGAAATAGCACATGTTAGGTAATGTGACATATGTCATGTTAGCAATTAAACGCACGTGGAAATATCAAGTCAATAACATACATTAACCGTTAGTCAATCAACGATTTTCATCTAACAGTGATTGTTTTGACAAAAAATTAAAACATTGGGACTAAAATACTAAAAAGTGAATAGGGGCTAAAATGACTATTTAGAGAAGCATTGGGACTAATTTTGTAATTATGCCAATGTTTGAACCCTAAGGTTAATTTTTATGGCTCCAAATATACAGGTAAAACTGCATTTTTTGACCCTCTGCCATGACCAAAAGAGAAGAAAGATCTTCTCACAACTCTGCTGCTGAAACCTTCAATGGGGCTAACCTCATCGACTTGCCTGTTCTGTCTCATGGCTTCTTGAACTGCTAAATACAGCTGTCGATCAGCAGATGAATCCATTGAAATTGACCTCCTAATTGGCTGAATCGCTGCAAACTCTTTGTTCTTGTCTCTTGTGTCAATCCATTCATCCCCCATGCTTGTCCCTTTGTGTAGTTTTCTTCCTTGTTTCTTCATTGGTGGACTTACTGAAGCACTAGACCTGGTGGACAACTCATCAATGGAACTATGGCCTAATTCAATTACTACATAATCTTCATCACCATTAATGGTAGATCTTGGATCTTGTTGAGTTGAGCTCGGCCCACCATTGATGGTGTTGCTTGAAATACTCTCCCTGCACAGTGGACAATTTGCATTGCTTTGGAGCCAGACATCGATGCAATCAATGTGGAAAACATGGCTGCAATTAGGTATTCTTCTCAGCTTCTCGTCTTCTTTGAACTCATTCAAACAAACAGCGCATTCACAAGAGCTTCCTTTTTCACCATTGTTCTTGAATTGGAATATTGGGATTGATCTTATGACAGATTCGTCGAGTCCTCCATGTTCGACTGCCGGAGAGTAAGACGTTAAAGTGTCTTCAGGTTGTCTTCGAGACAGCGAAAATCGCCTCAGGAGATCGATACGGTGCCAGTTGAGGCAGCATTTGATGACGAAGATGTAGTAGCTGACTAACAAGAAACCAGTGGCTAAAATGCCGATGACGGCGATTGCTATAATGGGGAAACTCGTGCCAGATGAACGTGAATGGGAGCCCAAGATTGAGTTCCCCGGTGTTGTGATCGGCGAAAGTGCTTGTTGCGAGACTCGGATTGTGTTGGCGTAGCTTTTACTTACAAGATCCATGAAAACAAAACAAACAAACAATGGCGACAAAAAGATTTGGTTGGATCTTGACAAGAATCAAAAAATGCAAAGTTATGTAATGAAAAAACCTTGTATTGTTTCAGAAATTGATGAACTGATACATTTGTGGAAAGTCTGGAAAAAAGCAGAGAAAATTTGGGGAGAAAGAGGAGAAGAGAGAACACCCAGGTGGACTAAACGAGGGAGATTGTTAATGAAAAGGCTATAATATATATTTTATTGAGTTAAGTGAAAAAAATGAAAATATTTTATTTATACCTAATTTGGTGAGTTTTCTTTCAGGATTTCACCAGAAATTTGGCTGCTGCAATAAATAAATAAAATCTCCATTATTGTGATTTTTATATTAAAAAGTTTTATATTAGTGTAAATTATTTTTATATTAAGAAGCCATTAAAGATAAAATTTTTAAATTTATTTTTAGTCGTAGTTGGAAACCATCACTTTATAGTGTATTTTACGACCACCCTAGATACTAATGAACTCTTCTTATCATTATCTATCACTTTGTCAATTTTGATTTTATCAAAACCTCTTTAAAATTAACGAAATTAAATTTAAAAATCCACTATTTTAGGGGTTTAGGGGTTTGGGAGCTTTCTTGAATTTGAAGAATTTTGGCGTGTTTGTTTGAAAAACTAAATAGTGAGACACATTATTTTAAGGAAATGAATAACATATCTCATAACTATTCTTATCGGATAACCATTAAAGGAGATCAAAGTATTAACACGTCGGACCATTAATTGATTTTTCATCAATTTTGAGCGAGTTTCATGAAAAAAAATATGAGAAAAAAATAAGTGAAATACGAATATTTTAGTACCGTTCATGCAAATAGAAAACGTTGATAGGCAACGATTGATCGCCAGCAACAACCTTTGAAGTTTAGTGGCTAAAATTGAAACATTTTAGAGTTTGCTGACAAAACTGATACACAACTAAAAATATTTATATAATCCTCCAAAACTACGTCATTTTGGGGATCAATACAACTACACTAAAACAGCGTCGTTTTTAGCCATGTTGTCACATTGACAAAACTGTTGTCCATGTCATCATATTGGTCTCGAGTTAATAGTCCAACACTATAATTGAAGATATGATCTAAAGTTCAGTGATACAAGCGTATTAATTTAAAATTCGACAATATATATGAGGTACTCTTTCTCTCATTCCTTTATTTATTAATATACCTTATACTATGTCGATAGATATGAAGGAGGGTTTAATTAGACCACCATTTTATTAAATAAATGTATAGAAAATGGGAGTAAATCAAATGGAGTGGCTCACAAAATAAACGACTGGGGCTGCATATAAACGTAGGAATTAAGTTTTAGTGTGTGTGGGACCAGTTATATTTGGAGTTTAGCTTTGATGATTTGAAGTTTAAACTGTTAAGTGGAAATCAATAAAATCTAAGATCTTATCTGTAAGAGATACATCACTTTATTTTCTCATAATGGGAGGTTGATTATGGTCAAGGGGTGATTAACTTCTTTTCATTTGATTCCTTGTATTTTATTTTTACTTTTACCAATAATTATATATATATATATATACCATTAATTGTAGATAAATAGTAGATGCACCTTTTCAATATGAAACTACCTAAAAGTGCTAATAATAATTTCAACGTTAGGTTATGCATCATAGATAGTTTGATCAACTATAAAAACCAGAATCTACCTTCTGGAATGTTTATCAATTCAAAACGTAAAGTACAAGCACTTAAAGGGTGAGTGCTGAGAGAGGTGAATCCAGTGGGATTCGATAGGGTTGATTAAGTTGGATCCGGGTTTAGATTTAGATATGAATTTTAGCTGGCTTAGATCATTTATAGTAGGTTTTGGATTTGGTTCATTTTCAAGTTTAAAAATAAATCTTAAATTAGATTAAAATTGTTGTCTATAAAAATGAGATAGACAGAAGTTCGACGTAACACAATCTTATTGATCAGAATTTTTTTTAATAATTTAAGATAAAACAATAACAATAGAACATCAAAAAGAAATAACTAATATAATTTATTTGATACAAATTATAGTTTAGAGGATATAATTTAAGAGAAAATGAATGTTTAAAAAATGTTTTTCTTTGTTATTTATGTTGAAAAATAAACAAGTGGCCAAGCCACTTTCGGTGGCAGCCACCAATTTTGTCAAAAAGGGTTGGCTATTTGTTGAAAATCAATAATGGTAAAATTTCAATTTTAGTCATTGTAATTTAGGGTATTTACAAATTAGTCCTTAAGCTTCAATTATAAATACTCTAGCTCATTTAGCTTCAAAATCATCCCAAAGCATTCTAGCTTTCTTCCAATACTAGAGAGAATTTAGAGAGTTTCTTGAGAGTTGTTTTCTCCTTTTTATCGAGAGAGAATTATCATTATTTTCTCCTTGGTAGATCGAGAGAGGTTGTAATTCCTATTTTCTCATAGTGAAATTCTTCTACCGTTGTCCGTGGTTTTTACCCTATTTTATTTAGGGGTTTTCCACGTAAATTTTGTGTCTCTTTTTATCTTCATTTTTATTTTGTCAAATTATCAGTTGCGATTTTGCTCTATCCGATAACCGTCTTCCGCAACAATTGGTATCAGAGCTAGAGTAGAGTGTGTAATATCTACTTATTGTCTTTGTGGTTGCCACCAAAAGGTGGATCCTCCAACATAAGAAAATAAGAAGTTATTACCCATTCTTTGAAGGTTCCAAAGAACTTTTCACGATAGTGAAATAGTGGGAGCTATCCGTAAAAGAAGCTATGGCAACGAAATTTGATATTGAAAAATTCAATGGGAGAAATTTCTCATTGTGGAAATTTAAGATGAAGGCCATCCTAAGGAAAGACGGGTGTCTAGCGGCTATCAAAGAAAGGCCGGTGGATTTCGCAGATGACATCAAATGGAACGAGATGGACGGGAATGCTATGACAAACTTTTATCTAGCATTAGCAGATGCAATATTGTCAAGCATCGAGGAGAAGAAGACAGCTAAGGAGATATGGGATCATCTTACCAAATTGTACGAGGCCACATCGCTGCACAATAAAATTTTCCTTAAGAGGAAATTGTACACTCTCCGTATGCCAGAATCTACTTCAGTGACAGAGCACTTAAATACACTGAACACCTTATTTTCTCAGCTTACATCCTTAAGCTGTAAAATAGGAGAACAAGAACGTGCTGAACTTCTACTTCAAAGTCTACTGGATTCGTACGATCAACTCATCATCAACTTAACAAACAGTAATGTCACCAGTCTAGTCTTCGATGACGTTGTAGCTGCTGTTCTACAAGAAGAAAATCGGCGCAAGAACAAGGAAGACAGACAAGTAAATCTGCAACAAGCTGAAGCGTTGACAACGATGAGAGGGAGATCAACAGAACATGGCCAAAGCAACAGTCATAAACATGGTAGATCGAAGTCGAGGAGCAAGAAGAATTTAAAGTGCTACCACTGTGGAAAGAAGGGTCACTTGAAGAAGGATTGTTGGAGTCTAAATAAAAACTCCAATCCACAAGGCAATACCGCAAACACTTCAGATGATGGAGATGATCTATGCTGTGAAGCGTCAACCACCGTGGAAGGCAGAAAAAGATTTGCAGATATATGGCTCATTGATTCGGGAGCGACATATCACATGACCTCAAGAAGAGAATGGTTCCATCATTATGAACCTGTCTCAGGAGAATCTATGTATAGTTGCAATGATCATGCCTTAGAGATCGTTGGTGTGGGAACCATCAAATTTAAGATGTATGATGGAACAATTAAAGTTGTTCGAGATGTGCGGCACGTGAAAGGTCTAAAGAAAAATTTATTATCCTACGGATTGTTGGATAATAATTCTAGCAAGATTGAAACACGGAAAGGAATCATGAAGGTGTTTCGTGGAGCGCTTGTGGTGCTGAAAGGTGAAAAGATAGCTGCAAACTTGTACATGCTGAAGGGAGAGACATTGCTAGAAGCAGAAGCCTCTGTTGCCTCATGTAGTTCAGATTCTGCAATGCTATGGCATAAGAAACTTGGACACATGTCAGAACAAGGAATGAAAGTCCTTGTGGAGAAAAAGCTACTTCCAGGCTTAACAAAGGTATCACTTCCTTTGTGTGAGCATTGCATAACAAGTAAGCAGCACCGGTTGAAATTCAACACATCAAATTCTAGAGGCAAAAGTGTTCTAGAATTGGTTCACTCTGACGTATGGCAAGAACCAGTAACGTCCCTAGGTGGAGCAAAATACTTTGTCTCATTTATTGATGACTACTCCAGGAGATGTTGGGTGCACCCCATTAAGAAGAAGTCAGACGTGTTTTCAACTTTCAAAAACTTCAAAGCGCGGGTGGAACTTGATTCTGGAAATAAGATCAAGTGTTTCAGAACAGATAATGGAGGAGAATACACAAGCGAAGAATTTTATGATTTTTTCAGGAAAGAAGGCATCAAAAGACAGTTCACAATGGCGAACACTCCTCAACAAAATGGAGTGGTAGAGCGGATGAACAGAACCTTGTTAGAAAGAACAAGAGCAATGTTGAGGGACACAGGCCTAGAAAAATCATTCTGGGCAGAAGCAGTCAATACCGCCTGTTATTTGGTGAATCGAGCTCCATCAACTGCAATAGAGCTGAAGACACCAATGGAGATATGGACTGGCAAACCAGTTGATTATTCAAACCTCCATGTATTTGGAAGTATTGTGTACGTGATGTACAACGCCCAAGAAATTTCGAAGCTGGATCCAAAATCCAGAAAATGCAAATTCTTGGGGTATGCTGATGGAGTAAAGGGGTATCGCTTGTGGGATCCCACTGCCCGCAAAGTGATCATTAGCAGGGATGTTATCTTTGTAGAAGATAAGCTACAAAGAAAAGAAGACAATGACAGCGCTGAAAAGTCAGAGACTACACAGATACATGTAGAAAGGAGTTTGAACAAGGAGATTCTTCTGAAGCAGAACCAGCACATGATGAACAAGAACCAGAGAGTTTTGAAGCTCCAACAACTCGTCAATCAGATCGTGTGAGAAGACGTCCCAATTGGCACTCAGATTATGTTATAGAAGGAAATGTTGCATACTGTCTTTTAACAGAGGACGGTGAGCCATCAACATATCAGGAGGTAATAAACAGCTCAGATGCTTCACTATGGATGATGGCGATGCAAGAAGAAATCGAAGCCC